AATATTTTGTTATAAATAGTTAGTCTTTGCTGGCAATCCATATCTATAATAGATATTGTTTTGAATATTATTATTAAGACATAAATCACTGATTGCTAACATTTGCAGAGTTATGATAATGAGATTATAATAAGTATTTAAGAAATAATTAAATTAATTTGAAAACTCAACTTCAAATGATGAATGTATTGTAAATTTAGATTAAGTTAATCCGCACATGGGATACAAAATGTATTACTTATAATATATTGACATAAAAGTGAGCAAAAAATATCTCATTTCATATATTTTCTAAGTTGAGTTAACCTTTCACTCAACCTAAACGTACCTGATGTTTGTCTCACACTATAAATCGATAGTTTATGATTGAAATGTAGATGATTTCAATGATAACTATATGTTTTTAACCGATCGATATCTGCATATGACTTATACAGTAGTAAGTCTTACGATAATAACTGTAACTGTATGTCATTTCTGTTTTATATGATATTTTTAATTCAAAAAATATTTATTTTGTGGATAAAAGTAAGTGAATGAATGCATTACCTGTATGTTTACATTAAGACACTTTTATTTCTAATCGATTTTATTGAAGACTATTTGTGTTGAGAATTGGGTCAATATTTTTAGCTTATTTTCCATAAGACTTACAGAACTTGTTAACAATAGCTTTACATTTGTTTGACACTATTTTGACCAATAATTTCTTATAGTTTGAAAATACAAAAGTTTTGTATATTCTTTAATTTCTATATTCAGTTATATTGTTATTGGAATTACCATTAAGTGCTTAAAATGTAATGAAATTAGTATTAACTTCATAATAGTTTTACTGTATTTTGGAAAATTTTTTAATTATTATTTTTGTATCGATTTTTGTTTTTAATTAAATTTCACGCGTTTTCTCGATAGGAGAGGACATATCGCTGTACCAGTGCTTTAAATGCAAGCAAAAGACCAAAATCTACGAGATATCCGAATTGAAGCTCAAGTCTAAGCCCTTGAGGCGCGTCCATCTGTTCCATCACTTCAGATATCTTCCATTCGTTTGCAAAGCGGTGACAGACGGTCAACGGGTGTGCAATAAGGCATTCTTAGGACAGAACTTCTTGAGGGCTCACATCAAAGAGGATCATCGCGTGGAACTCCAAGAGCACCAGTTGTCTCGTTATCTCAAACACAAACTCATACCCAAAG